TCTTTGGACCGTGAAACGGCCACACTGAAAACGGCAAGTTAACGACTTGTTTACTGGGCGTTTTTTTGCCGTTTTCATAACGTTAACGCGCCGTTTTTTGTGTGACCGTTTACTGGAGATTAACTGGGCGTTTTTTTGGACCTGGGTTATTATAGTTGTAGTCCTTTATAGCTCAGTTAGTAAGAGCACGTACAGCACAACATGCTACAACGACTGACAGTGAACTTACGGAACAAATCTATCAATTTTCAAAAAAAAATTTTTTTAAGTAGGGACTTCATAAGAAACACATAAGAATTCTTATCACTTTCGTATGAAATTCTTACGACTTTCTTATAAGACTTATAATGTCCTTATGGAGTTCTTGGGACTCTCCTGCGAGATCTTATTTAAGAAATCGGTAAGAATCTGATAAGACTTTTGCATGGGTCTTATTTGATACTTATAGCATGTCAGTATGGTTCTTGACTGAGCCTTACATAAGAATCGTTGACTATGGATTAGGCGATAAATCAGTAGCAGAATCAGGAAGCATTTCCTCTCAACACGAGTGAATATCAAATCAAAAACACAAAGCAGATAAAAATAACGGAGGATTAGTATCACAAGTGAATGCATAGTGATTGCAGACAATACAATATTTTGTATACTATATTGTTTCTATTTTTATCGTAATATATTGAAATACGTTTAGACGAATTTTGCATCTCGATCACAGAAAAACGTAATGAGACGTGTAGGAAGAAAAAAAACATCGACTTATATTCTATCAAGAATGGAGCAGTGATAATGATAAAAAAATATGCCCCGGGTGAGGATCGAACTCACGGCCTTCAGATTATGAGACTGACGCTCTACCTACTGAGCCACCGCGGCGACAACTTGTATTCTATGCAAGGGGGAAAAAGCATACTTCTGTACTTCTCGGCACTTCTCCGTACTTCTTGATACTTCTTCGTACTTTTTTGTACTTCTCCGTACTTCTGAAGTACGAAGTACGAAATACGGGATTTCGTATTTCGTACTTCGTACTTCTGAAGTACGGAGAAGTACAAAAAAGTACGAAGAAGTACGAAGAAGTATCAAGAAGTACGGAGAAGTACCAGAAGTACAGAAGTATGCTTTTTCCCCCTTGATTCTATGTCAGAATCATCCAACGTTAGCGTTCAACATCTAACTAACGCTGAAGCTTTCAACTCTTAAATAATTTAGTTGCGATTCATACATTTTGAGAATGGAATGCCACTGATAATGAAGAAGCATTTCTTTTGTTATTCATCAGAGCATAGTTCGAGTTTAATCTCGAAGAATGAAGCTGTGACTTCACTATCTTCGATGCACTTAGTGACACTTTAATCAAAGATTCTGCTGTTTGAAATTCACTTTGCAATGTAGTTTCTGTATAGATGGCAGACTCATGACTCTTGACGAATCATATCACACATGCAGATCACAGTTTTCGTCACGACATTATTCTTGCGATAGCATAACCGCCAAGGGAGACCCTCATGGGGGATCCGGGAAGATCCTCATGGATCCCTGAATATCCGAAAATTGTCCTAAGAGTATAAAAGCCTTCTATAAACCCTATGTGTTTTAAACAGATAAGTAGGGCGAAACCAATATTTCGCTCTGCGAACCTATTGCGATCTGGTTTTCGTACTTTTCACAGAATGAAACATTTATATAAGATAAAAGACCTCTTTCAACACAGTATGCACTAAAAGAAATTTGTCGTCTGACAGCATGTGCCACGTTCTGTGGGACCGTGTGTTAAAACATAACAACAGAGGAAAGAGTTCGTGGCAGACGATCGTACGACCACCCACGTAATGTACTTTCGATTCTTAGTCGTTTAATGAAGTGGACAGCATTGCTTAATCAATGTGGCAAATGCTACGTGATCATTCAGCCCATTACCCAAATTACTTGCGTCATGTACAAAATCCCGAAATAGTGCTGTTCCATCTCCTAATTTTGCTATAGATATAATATCATTCTGAGAGCACCCTTGTCCATATGTAATTTTTTCTCTAAACATCAGCATCAAACCTTTGTTTTCTACCAAGGTCCAATGACCACCAGCTCCTAATGTTGGATAATCAATTTTAAACGTACCTTCTGTAGCATTCGCTCTTAGACGATTTTCCATTTTGATCCTGTAAAGCCATAACATTGATATGCGACTCCTTCCCACGTTCCATTGAGCCACGAACTATCCGTTGATTCATGGTCGCGTTTCTCTTGTGTTCTTGTTTGTTGGTACACTCTTTCTTCTAACTGCTTGATAGTTTGCATATTTTTCTCCTCTTTCTCTTCTAACAGTTTGATTCTCTGCTCATATAATGCCAGTTGTTTGTTCAAACAGTCAGTTTTATCGTGTTTACCCTTTTGTTTGTAAACATAATTACACGTTTTACATTGAATTTCAATTTGATCACATTGCTCTTCATGCTTTACAAGATCTTTTTTAAGAATATCTGGTTTCAAACATGCTCGACATTATTTCGGTTGGTATTGGCAATCTCCATTTTGATGTTTATCCCTTGCAAAAACATTTAAAATAGGTATGCGCTGTTGGATAAAAGCTACATTTAGTTACTATCGAGTTCTGTTATGTTTTGCTTTTTGAATGATTAAAAATTCAGGTTGTGCACAAATGAAGCAAGAGATCATTATAAAATATATAAATGAAACAGACACGTACTGACCTAATAAAAGGTTGTTTTGGATAATAGGAGTAATTCAAAGATTATTTCATATTTATAACTTCCGCGGAAGTTATAAATATGAAATAATCTTTAAGTTCGTCTTTGTATTTTGCATTCTGTTCTTCAGCTAGTTTGGATAACGTTCTTTTCTCTAATTTTCTTTTCTTTCCTGCTATCGGCAAAAAAACCCGCTGTTGAATATTTTCATACGTGATAAAATTGATCGCTTCGACCTTTGATGGCATTCTTAAAGATCAACGTCTTTTAGACTTCGAAACGAAAATAAAGTAAAACTGTAGTTAACCTGCTAATTGGTGTGTTATTAGCCTGCTGAATTGCGAACCTAGTTATTTTCTTATCCCAAGTCATAGTTCATTGTGTCTCTTTCGTTTTTTGATTCCTGTATACATGAATTTATTAGGGCGTGATGAGTCCCTTTCATAACAATGCAAAAGTCAATAATAAAAGCTAAAGATTATTGCATGTTTATAGCTTTACCTTAAAACGATCTAAAACGACACACCAGTACCAGCTATTCGAACTGTTACAGTTAGAATAAAAAAAGAAAAGTAGTAAAACATTGTTCGACAAACTTCTTCCTTTTTCGTTTTTCTTTTAAAATATTGCAACACAAGCAACTGCGAAGTCTTTCATGTTTACACCACTATCGGGGACTTCACCATTGCTTATCATCAAGACACATTTGTTCTTTATAAACAAATGTATGAAAGAATAAAAAAAATAAAAACAGAAATTTTTATTTTAAAAAAATGAAACTTTAAAAATTGATTTATTATTTTTTTTAATGCAAAAATTCATTTAAATCGATTTTTTTGTTGAAAAAAGCTTATTTAAATTCTTTGTTTTAGAATTCTCTTAGAAAGTCTGTTTAAATTAATTTTTAAAAACATTCACTTAAATTTATTCTACATAACGTTTCGTGCCAAAAATCTATTTAAATTCATTTCTTTCTCAGTGAATCTGATTTGGGTTTTTATAAAAGATTAATCTGAATTTCTATTTTCTCCAAATAAAAGATAAAATGCACTTAAATAGATTTTCTCAAAAACTAAAATCAGCTTTATTGAGTGAGATAGAAATAAATTTAAATAGATTTTTCACACAATAAGTTACGCAGAATGAATTTAAATGGATCTTTTCTAAAATTAATTTAAACAGATTTGTCTAAAACAATTTTAAAATAGTAGATTTAAATAGATTTTCTTTAAAAAAAGTCGATTTAAATTGATTTGTCCATGAGAAAAGATAGTAAATCAAAAAAAAAATAGCACATTTCCTCAAAAAGTGCAGCGATGGGTGATGTACAGCTAAAGCTCCCGTTGTTTGGATCTCGCCGTATTGATGCCCTTTACTGTCGACTTTGGGTGGATTTCTCTGATCTGCTGATCCTCTGATTCTGATTCTCTGATCTGAAGTGCTGCGAAAATTACTTTTCACGTAACTCTAGCACAAGGGTAGTAGATGACTCTGAACATGATTGATTGAGTGATTTTTATTTCCACTTCCGAAGAGATTGAAATCAATAAATTGAATATTTCTGAAATTTTTATATTCGGACGCTACGCGGCGTATTGAATCGATATTTCGAAAAAAGTTTAATCTAGCTAATTAATTCGCTTCGAAACTGAAAATGACTACTCAACTCAGCATGGTCGATTACCTATGTTTCGAGGTTTTTTGGAGTGATCCAAGGTCAGCTGGCCGAAATCGGGGCTCTCAGGAAAATGCTTATAGTTCCTGAATAGAGCTGGGCCTTGTGTAATTTTCTCTATCGAATAGTTGTATTAGAATTTCTAATCCAACGGGTAATCTTTTCACTAGGCAGTGTCCAACATGTCAAGCGAACACTCACCTGATTGGCCAATTGTCGACCAATCCGCTTTTGATATTTCTGTATAAAAGATATTGTTCTGTTTCGAATGTTGAAAATTGCAGATCTCCAGCTGCTTCCTATCCGGAGTTATTCAACTTACCACGAGTGCATTGTTCATTGAAAGGCATAGTGCTTTTGCATATAAAGTCTGAGTATATCTCGTATAGAATATAGTTCAGCTTTATAATAGTGTCAGATTATGTAAGTGATTTCAGAAAATGAAACTTTTTCGGTTCTGCACAACCACACCGCATGTTCTCTTTCTGTAGAAATAAGGGAACGAGAAAGGAGAGGGACTGATATTGATCTATATCTACGCATAGAATGTAGTCTACGTCCACATGGTTCATTATTTTTGATGGCTTCCTTAATGAGCTGACAGACGTCTTTGTAGATTAGATACTTTGCATCTTAATCAAGAGTAGAAGGCAGTAACAGCTGATCAAGGATCAACAAGAGAAAATGCGGTTCTGTGTAGAAAAACAAGAAGTTTTACACACTTTTTTTTCAAAAAATAAAATATACGAATATGATGATAGTGTTATATCTTGTTTAATGATTCCAAAAATGATGTCTTGTAATATCGACTGCCGAGACAAAAATATAACGATTATTACAAGGTCTACATAAACCAAATTTATTATCAAGAAGGGCAACTGGTTTTGCATTTTTTTGTCCAATCGTACATGAATCTGCAGTTTGTAAAAATGTTATACAGAAGTGTTTTTTTCAAAAAATAAAATACACTGAGCTTTATTTTCATTACACTATCAAAATGAGTTATTATTATTAGATATTAGTCCATAGCGATTATATAACTGTTCTTAGGTTTCTGTTTTTTGATAAATCTGATTTTCGAGTTCTAGATCCTACTCGCTGTTTAGTAGCACACAGTTTCGATTTACGATATGTCTGATAATGTGAGCCATGAAGTTTTAACATAAAATTAACAATAGCTTTCATCCTTGATAATGCAAATTGTACTGTACCAGAAACTTTGCAATCAACTGAATTTTTTCAAGTTCTTCAAATGAGTATAAAGTATTGAAAAGATGATTTAATAAATGTCTCGTAGCATTACAATCTGAATTTAAGGTACTATCTGTTTTCTTTTTCAGAACTAAACATTTTTGCTTGTCAATCATATATTGCTGTGTGATACTGGTAGGATCGATCAAAATTACTTGATTCTTAAACACGGAAAATAGAATTAACAGGATTAATTTTTAGGAGTTTGATTTTGAAAAGTACGGAAGTTAGAAGGCAAAAGACAAAGGTTAATCCCTTTGACAAGCGGTAACTTTCGCTTTGATTGCAATATGGTTCTTTCGGTTGTAGTCGTACGAGAATCATAAAAGAACCATACGGTTTACTTCTTAAATAAGTCAATTAATAAAAATACGACTGTTTTGTTCTTCTTATATGCAATCTCAATATGTAGGTATCTTAATTCGCGTAGATCATCGTGTTTTCATAGTACAGAGTCTAAATACTCTTTGCCACACTATTATGATTTAGATATAAACGGTATGTATTATTCGCAAGAGCTGAGAGCAGTTTCATTTATGTGGACGCCTAAGTACACGCTAATATACTTATGCGTGTCGTCTTTAGATAACGTTGTAAGATGATTAATCAATTTATCACGGCTGACTTGTTTAATGATTTCGATGTATATGTATTTTCTACATAATTGTGTATAAACTCAATTAACCTCTGAGATTAGTATCGCGCAGAATATGAATGTAATCTTATTTTTGAGTCATGTTTGTCGTTCATAATATTATCGATTAATGTTTAGAATTTTGTCAGGAATTTTGATGCGGAGAATGATAAATTTCTCGATTTTCTGCTGAGTGCAAAAACTGACGATATTCCGATAATTAAAAATATACGATCGTCATCAAGCCAACCACTACCACAGCCAACACAGCAGCGAGGAAGATCCAGATTGCACCTTGAATATCCACTGATTGTTAGGGAATTAGAAAGATTTTTAAATTTACATGCTGGTGGTGCACAAGAACGAAGAAGAACGGATGCCGTACGTTATAATGGTGAGTATTGATGGTGTCTTTTCAGAGCCGTTTTAAGAAATTTGTGGCCCCTGTGCTGATCATTAACGTTTTCAACACATCAGTTTATATTTTTCTAATAATAACACAATGCAAGGCGTAGGCCGTTCGATTGGGTCCCTGAGTCAGCCGAGCCCCTGTGCTATAGCACAATTAGCACATAGGATAAGAAGGCATTGTGTCTTCTCGTTCCGCCGACTTTTCGAAAAAAGTCGGCGAAACTAGAATTTTATGTCTTTTTTCTACCGGTATATTTATCGTATTTTTTAACAAATTTCAAGTTCGCTCGTTCAATTAGGTTGTAAGGTGCAAAGATATTGATAGTACACAAGAGATGTTTTAGCTAAGCAATCTCAGGCTTCATCGTTGAACTTCAAAAATATACCTTTTTTTTTCATTTTGTTTGATGTCAATACTCTTTGCTGGTGATCCTTCTCCCATTCTATGTGCATACAGAGATAGATAAACCTTCAAGTTTTTGAATATGTACCTCGGAGGTACATATTCAAAAACTTGAGGGTTTGTCTATTTCACTTACATGGATAGATCACTATCGGATAGTATGATCTATCCATATAAGTGAAATGATATAGAAAGTGAAGTGAGAAAAGAACAAATTTTACGTTCTTTATCCAATTATTCATGAAGGAAACATTGCACTCACTATGAAATTAGTCTATATTCTGGTCGGTTGATAGATGAAAATGGAACTAAGTTGAATGTCCCTCAGTCCGACTTTTATTTTTAGCTTGAAGTACACAAGTTGTACTCTATGCCAAGCCACTTTCTAGAAAAAACTGTATTTTACTTCTTGAATTGGTGTTAAAATCAAAGTTCAGTATAAGAAAAAATGTAATTTATTATGCATCTTCGTACATTTGTACTCAGTAGTTTCAAGCGACCAGTTCAATAACCATTTATAATCTTGAATCTGTAATGCAACTATTAATTCAACTTGGTAAATCTGTTGCAATATTAACAAGTGATAATGGGCCTGATTAATCATGCAGAAAAAGTCCGCGCAATATATTTAACTATGGTGAATTATAGTGAAAAAATTAAAACTAGATGCTATGATTTTAAACAGTTACACACCTGGCAATAGTCGATAGATATGAAGATCAATGTCACCATTATCAAACTGGCTTCTTGGTCTCACATTTGAACGACAGTATGATTCAAATGGAGCTAAACCACATAATTTAACTGACTCACTTATTTGTTTAAATCGTTATTGCGACAAACGAATGTATGCTGATTTCCAGTTGGAGTGTCACCTTGTACTATCATATAATACAATAGGTGCTGATCATAATGATACGCGTTTACTATTAACGAAAAGAAAATCTGATAAACAATCTACTTTATATCGTGACTATTTATTTTTATTAAAACATTGTGATCAATCACATTATTACGGTACCACCATCGGTACCACCACTTTGTATTCTCCATCCTAATTACTATAAAATATTTTTACAAAGGATGCTTCCACACAGGTTGGCCCACTTTATACAGAGCATCTTGCCGCGAAAACTTCACTTTGCCCATCGTGTAGAGCATCAAAAATAATCTAAAGATCTCGCTTACGCTTTTTTGAAAAAACGTGTGGAAAGTGGTTTCTAGACACCAAGTTTTCGGTGAGGGTGAAACCGAAGACGGTGAAAATGAACGAAACATTCCATAATTACCCATCAAATTATTGTTTACAACAGCCCTTCACTTCATCCTATCTTATTTTCTTCCTACTGCTTTACCATCGGGTTTCATTAACTATTCACTCGCTTGACATATTAAATATTTATTGTTTTAGATATAATTGGACCGTTCTACCCTACGGACAATGATGCAATCATAAGTAAATATATCCTAAGGACAATACAAGAGTTAGATACTTTAACAAAGGATGGCGATGTCCAAATCGTTGATCGTGGCTTCGAGACGCTGTTCAACATTTTAAGGAATTAGGATATGACGTAAAAATACCAGGTCTGATGCAAGGAGAAAGCAAACAGCGGGCTTTATATGATGCAAATACTACTAGATTAGTGACTAAATGCCGGTGGATTGTGGAATTGAAAGAGACACCAACCAGAAAGAGAAAAGAGAATGATATTGATTTATATCTACACGTAGACTATGGACCCTTACGACGGCTAGTGATGAACCGCAATGCCACCCTTCATTTAAGTACTACAGGCACCTTTTCAACCTTTCTACATTTTCTCTGACGACGTTTTCACTGTCGACATTTTCCCCTTCTACGTTTTCCCGGTTAACATCTTTCCTTTTTACATTGTCTCCGTCGACATTTTCTCTTGCTATATTTTCCTTTTCGATGTTTTTCCATTCTACGTTTTCCATCAACCCCAATTGATTCATGTGTAAGAAATATATAAAAAGAATTCCTTTTCTTAAGATACCCGATATCCGTCATTTGATACCGAATGGTTGGCATGCCTATGTCCGTGTTACTCGGATACTAACAAAAAGAATTCATGATCTATTCTTCCTCCATATAATTTAAACGCCAATGATGCAGATGTAAAGGAGAATTATAGTTCTTTATATCGTCAGATAGATCAAGAGGAAATGGATAATGGTTTGAAAAGGTATGTTAATAAAGTGCACATGAGTTATAATTCATGTCCTATTCATATTTCAGTTTTCACGATTAATCATGATCCGAATGAACAAACTTTATTGTCTAATCGATTATTGTCATACTCACCGAATGAAATTGTACCAGCATGTAAGAGAAGAACTATTAAGCTATTTATAGGTTAATTTCTACGATTTTGTTTTAGATGCCCAATCATGCAGTAATGGTCAGCCCAAAAAGTTAATTGAAGATTTGAGTTTAAAGACATGTCTATTGGCATTCGATATTGTATTCGAGGGTCCTGATGGTCTATAGTATCCAACTGGTATAAGCTGTATCTCTCATGAGATAGTTGAATGTAAGCAGAATGAACAATCAAATGCTTGATCCATTCGAACAAGCAAAGTCATTTCTACTAATTCTAGTACCATCAGTGCAAAAAACAAACACAAACAAGCGATGAGACGGAAGAAAAAAGTAACAGTGTTGATATAATATCTGCGGCATCGTCCAAAGACATTACATGCCCACGATGCCATAGTTTGGAACTGTGCTTAGTAAATGGCGACCAACGGGAGACACGTACGTTGACGATTGAGTCGAACAAGAAACGGCGTGTTCAATAAATGAAAATGCGATGTGAGATTTAAATCGATCCGCATGAACAAATTTCCTTTGCAGTTGGAGCAATTCGTTAGTTCCTTACTGAAGGACCTTATCCGCTGAAATTATAAATGTTAAAGAAAAGTTTAACATTTATGAATTCAAATATGAGAATAGATTATTTTTTCCGAGTGCACTTAATCTAGAAAAATTTTCGGTATTGTACTTTTTTACTTTCAATCAACCCCTATCTTCTTGTATTTCTTCCAATTATTTTTATTAATTTTACAACAGTTTTGGAATATTTAAAATAAAAGTTTATGGTATTTATTAAATAATTATGTATAGATGAGTATATAACAAAAATGTGAGAGCCAGTTACTGGATAATTCGAAAAGAACGTCGGATTAGAACTATCATCTATATTTCCTTAATTGGAAACTAACTGATTATACAACAAGACATTGTTTTTAACAGTTCAATTCAGTATGTTGCTATTTAAAATTGTTACATGGTGATAATGATTTTAGAAAAGTTTCGAGTTTTATTTATATAAATTTAATTTTGTATTTTGTTTGTATAAATTTAATTTATTTGAACGATGTAAGTAAAAATCGATAAAATAGAATGAGCATTACAGTTTCAGTATTTTGGCACTTTAACTAGTCAAAGCATGAATTATTCATTATCTTGGCGTCATTCTGCTCTTTTGAAATTTTATGTTGGTCTCTCTGGCACTCCATAGTACCACAGTCCTTAAAAAGCTGGATGAAGCCCAGCTATCTTTAATAAGCCTCTTCAAATTCTCTGCTAGCGATAATAGTCATAAAAGAGTGAAAAAACAGGCGCCATCAAGACGTGTCTTGCTAATTAACTACCCTTTTTACGTGAAGTATTGAAAATATTGTATTAAATCTTTTAGAAAACCCTAAATTTCTTCGTAATCTATCGGGGAAAACATGCAATTTTGCTCGCACGAACTACTTTGATTCGAAAGGAGCCAAAAGCAGCATCACGACGTCAGCAGCAACGAAACGATACGTCTGCTAACAACATCTCTAATAAACAATCCCTAAATGACCAATCGCAACAACCAATATCGAAATTAGCATCTTTGATACTACAAGGTGCAAAATTAGATCGTTACCACCTACGAGCTTTATGGTATTTTCTACAGATCAGAAAAAAATGATTTTGCGATTCATCTTCTCTGCATGTGAATGATAGATCAGGAATAAGCGTGTACCTGAATAGGTCAGCATTCAACTAAGAGAATCCAATTCTTAAACGAGTGAAATGAAGTTTTTTGGATTATGCGAAGGTTTATTGACCACGCTCTGGAGCGCTTGCAAAAATAAGAGAATATACAAAGAACAATTATAAAAAAGGAATAAGACAGAGCAAACACACAGCGACAGACCATCTAAGTCACGGACAAAAGGCTGAGTATACAGAACACGGGAAAAAGAGGAACAACAAAAAAAAAAAATAATAATAAAACCCGTAAATGTTTCTTACTTC